TCCGACTCCGGCTCAGGTCATGATCTCGCGGTCTGTGCGTTCGAGCCCCACGTCGGGCTCTGTGCGGACAGCTCAGGGCCCGGATCCCGCTTCGGATTCTATGTCTCCCTCTCTCTGCCCCTCCCCCTGCTGGTGCTCTGTCTCTCTCTTTCTCGACAATAAATAAACATGAGAACAAATTTGTTTTAAGCACCAAAATGCTGAGGACTCGCTGTGTAACCCGCTTGGCAGAAGGTGCCCGCTGGGCTGTGCCTGGCGCGTTTCTCACCTCCCACCGAGGCCTGGAGGCCACCCCGAAGTTCAGTTCCCTACAGGGACACCTGAGCCCCCCACCGGCCTGGGTCTCCTCCCCTGATCTTGTAGCTTTGTTTTCCCCGCCGTTCACCGTTCCCGCCTCTCCACTAGCTGTTCCTGCCCGAGTTGTCTATCCCCAGGCCCGGGGCGGATTTCCCGCAGGCGCCCGGCCATTTGCCCGCCCCGTGCCCTGACCTGCCCCGCCCTTCTGTGTTGCAGATGGCCAGCTGGACACGGACGTGTGCGAGTTCCACGAGGAGACCACGGTGAAGTTCTCGGAGCTGTCCGAGGACCTTCTGTGGGAGTACATCGACAGCGGGGAGCCCATGTGAGTGCACACGGGGTCTCACCGGGACGCTGATCCTGGCACGGCGGCTGCAGCCTCGCGACCGGACCCCCTCCCGGAGGCCCCAGCTCATAACACTGTCCCCTTGGGGATTAGAGCCCACCCTACGAATTCTGGGGGGACACAGACATCCAGTCCACGGTGGTGCGCTTATCGTCCTGATTTACCGTGGGGGCTAGGCCCAAGAGTGCGAGCAGGGCCGGGCTGAGGAGGTGACCTGCCCGGTTCCAGGGCAGTGGATGAGGAAACAACTCAAAGTGGGAGAAACAGTCAGGCCCTTCGCCCTGTGCTGCTGTCACGGGACTGGGAGGCCACACAGGTTAACACGCCTGCTCCCCCGTCACCCCGGAACGGGGCCGGGCCAGGGCCAGGTGCATGCATGCAGGTCGGGGGGGGGGGGGGGGGGGGGGGGGGGGGGGGGGGGGGGGGGCGAGCTCATCGCTGGGGGCGCCCAGAACCAAAACCTTGTGTCCTTTTGGGAGCCTGGGGCCCGGGAGGCAGAGGAGGGAGGGCGGATGGAAACCACGACGTGCCAAGTCGGGGTCCAGGAAAGGGTCT